GTTTGGCTGTCTCTGAAGATCCTGATTCCAAGCAGGTCTTATTCTGAGGCCTTCAAGTTAGCGCTACAGCATGCCATAAGGACACAAAGATGCACTGAGATTTTTTTCAGCATTGAAAAATGTTATGAAAATAATCTAAACATCTGACTTTCTTCATTAAACAGGAGTCCAAAAATCTGAGCAACTGCTAGCCCACATGTCCTCCTGGAAGTACCTAGTTGTTCCATAGTGAAAAACTCCTCTGTTTCCACCTTCAATTTTTATCTTTTGGGAATTCTCAACATGTAACTCAGGCTAAGCTAGAACTCTCCATCCATCCATTTTAGCCTTCATCTGATAAGCCCACCAGTGTATTGAGGTGGCTTGTGCCATCGGCTTTTCAGCAGCTGGGAGGCTGCACTTGTCCCTTCTGTCCCCACATCTGGGCTATGCACCTTCTTCTGAATGGTAGGGACATATTGACCCACAGCAGAGCTACCCGGACCTTCATGATGGATGCCACACATTCCTCAGCCTCTCTCTGGCACCCACAGTTGGCAATGCCTCTCTGCCCCCACAGATTGAGCATGCCGCCTTTTGGTACCTACAGTTTGAGCACACCCCTCTTTGGCATCACACCTTGCACAAGGTGTACTCTGGCACTACCGTGTGCACACACTCCTCTCCCTGCACACACTCCTCTCCCTAGTGTCTGGTTCCTCACTGAGGGCTGAATCTGGTAAACTACAATGCAAGCTCCCATTTAGGACCCCTACTTCTTTTTTTAAAGCAAAGTCCTGGCCTGAGACCAAGGACCCTGCCAGACTTCTTTGTTATTCATGTTGACTTTTCCTTCCTGGTTTTCATTATCTATCCAAGGAGTCTAGCTTCCCAGAATATCAAACCTGCAGGTGTGTATCCCAGACAATTAGGGACACTGCCATCCTCCAGGGCTTCTAGATCCCCTGAAACTCAGGGCATGTGTCCAAGAAACCAGGAACATCTTAGCCCTGAACCAAGTACATCAATCCTAGACTTTGTCTGCTGAGCTGGGGTGGTCCTTCCTACAGAGCATGTGGAGGAAGACACTTCAGGAAGTGGAGGTGCCTGCCAGGCATCAAGGAGCATGCTAGGAATGCTCCCTTGGAGAGGCCAGAGGCCCTGGCCTTGTGTCCCTTCTCCCCCAGAAGTAATCAGGTTATAAATGGGTACTGACGATGATTATCCTAGTCCTTCCTTAGCTTTCTATCCAGTGTGAGGTGCTCTTGGTTGCTTGTGGAGAAGAGGACCTGAAAGGATTCTCAGAGGTCAAGCTCATCTTGGTAATTTCCTTGGAAATAAAATTGGGTCGTTCATTTCAGACACTGTATTAGGAATTTCTGCGCAGAACTGGGTACCATTGTCATTTGTGATATGTGGCCCCCATTGGTGACCCCAGGGTGCCCTCCTGTGGGGTAGAAGCCCAGGACGCCTCTTCTGTTGTGTAGTAGCCAGATCGTAGCACGGAGCCCCAGGTGGCGTCTTGCCACATCATGCTGGAAGAGTGTCAGTTCTCAGGTGGCAATTAATCTCCATCTAAACCCTGTTTGGTTGCCAAGCTCTAGCAGAGAAATAAATGGAAGAACATTTCCAGCTCCTGATGGTGACTTTTATTGAGCCCTGCTTGGGTTGTTATTAAATTGTGACTATGACCCATGTTATGTCCATATAAAGGATAAGGAAATCACACACCTGTAGGTAATGACGTTAACGTTTTTTAGTTTATGAACCTGTAAGTCCCACAGAGAGAATTATCAATCATGTGGCACCGTCATAGCTGAAGCTTAAATTTGCAACAGCAAATTGCTTTTAAAATGTGTACAGGCCTAGAGCTGCTTCTGGGGATGCTTTACGTGGTTTTACGAAAGTTTAAGCATGCACGAGGCATGTCCAGTGATGGCAATTTCAGACGGGAGTGCAGAGATGGTTAATATCCTCTTGGCTCACAGCCCAAGCAGCTGTTCCTCTCTCCATCTACTGCATCTTTGTGGGCTATGGTAACAGGAATAGTGAGCTGTCCATGCTACAACCCTCTGGCCAACCATAGAGGCCATGCGGAAGGTTGGTGGGAGGCTACAATTCAGGCCTCAGAGGACCCAGAAGAAGGGAGTCGAGGTGAGTGACTACAGAAAGCCGTGTGTACCACTGGTGGGGCGTGGCTTGGTGATGACAAGCTACAGGAAAGAGCAGGGAACAGGGAGGAAGAATGACCTGAAGTCATGAGTGTGGATGGGCGGTAAGACCACCAAGGAGCACAGGGTGTGGCTTCTGCATTTAAGAACGTACAAGCTAGAACTGTGCATACAGGGTAGAATTGACTCTCTTGGGAGAGTTTGGAATGCCTGCTGCATTCAAGTAATATTACAGAGAAAAAGAAAGGGCAGAGAAGGCAAAGTGGGTGACTGGTAAAGACGTTTTCCACTAAACACGACAACTGAGTTCAATCCCCTGGGTCTGCACGGTGGAAGTAAAGAACTCTACAAGGTATTCTTTAACATCCGTGAGCGTCTCATCCTGCATGTGCACAAGCATGTGCACACATACACACATGTGCTCACACACATACACACACAAAAAAAATGTAACAAAAATCTTTAAAAAGAAGAAAAAGGAAGTTAATTTGTGGGGCTGGTGATTCAGCTCAGTTGGAAGAGCACTTGCCTAGCATGCATGAAACCCTGCGTTTTATCCTCAGAGCCATGTCAGCAAAGAGTGATGGTGCACACCTGCAATTCCAGGTCTTGGAAGATCAAAAGTTCAAGATCATCCTCGGCTGCTTAGCAAGTTGGAAGCCAGCCTGTCATACACAAGACCCTATCTCAGAAAAACTTTTGTCTTCAAGAAAGGCCATTTGTGGGGCTGGAGAGACGGCTCAGTGTTAAGAGCACTTGTTATTCCAGAGGACCCAAATCTCATTCCCAGACGCATATCTGGAAGCTCACAACCACGTGTAACTCCAGCTCTCATCTGGCATTAATTTTTACACACACACACACACACACACACACACACACACACACACACACGTACGTACCCCACTACCACCACCACCACCACCACCACCACCACCAACAACAACAACAACAACAATAAATACTTTTTAAAAGAAAGAAAAGCTGCAAGGGAAGCAGACAAGGCCAAGAGAAACCCACCGCCTGAATGGGGGTCGGGTGGGTACTATTGGACAGAGGTATGACGTATAAGCAGAGAACAAAGTGCTGCTGGGGAACCATGGTTTGAGTGGGTGTAACAGTTCTGCAGTAATGTCCTGCACAGTGTCTGGACCCTCACCCTCCATTGTACAGGGACTTTTATTAGCTGGGATGAGGTTCTTCTCTGGAGGGTCCTAAAGTGGTTCTGATACAAAGCTTTTTTAAGTTTTCCCCTAATTCTAATAGTTAACCTTTGCTGTGTAACAAGTTTTTTTCCAAATGCAGCTTCTTAAAGCCGTGCTTCTTATCTGACAGTCACAGTGGGCCAGGGATCTGGAGCAGAGGGCTTCCAGCTATTTGTGTCATCTCAGAGCTCACCGGGTGGAGGATCTGTCCCAAGCCCATAATACCAACAGCCTCAGCCCTGAAAGTTGTAGACCCCAGATGTGGCTCCATGGGCCTTTCTCCAGCAGTCCATACATGGCAGCTGGCTTTACTCACAGCTGGAAAGACAGCAAGGGACTTGTCACCATCATCTTGAAAGTGACTTCAACCATACTTACCAAAATCCTCCCCCTGGAGTTGAGGACTGGTTGTCATACAGTAACATCTCAGGACAGTCAAGTTCTGATGACTTTGCCACAGGCTGGTCTTAGTAACACTTCCTAATGCAACCTTCTATGCTCCCTATAATGTAGTTATAATCCAACTTATGGTTTCTGTGAAGGGTATAGCTGTGCATGTCTGTTGGGGGGCTAAAGACCAGCTTGAGATACATAACAAGACCCTGTCCCCCCCACCACTCAAAAAGAAAGATTGTATTATTTCCCACAAGCTCTGTATTCAGCTTTCTCCTGAGACCAGCATGTCTCAAAATGGCAATGACTTGGAAATGGTCATGTTGGCAGGCAACTTGAGGCCTAAGAGCTGCACCATGATCCCTAGACACTCCACCCTCCTGGACCAAGAGATGGAGAGGAAATTTGGTTCCAGCAGAGCCACCAGCGCCCATCCAGTGTGGATTCTGGGTGGTACACCTGTGAGTTTCTATTTGTGTTTGTGGTGGAATTAATTCAACAAAAATCAAAACCATAGATAATTGAGAATCAAAAAAAAAAAAATGAAATAGTGAGCTGACTGAGTGCCTACCTTTCCCATCAAATATTATTATCCAGTACATGCCAGCAACCGAGGGGGAACAGCAACCTTGATCTCTCACCAACATTGGACCAGCCATTCGCTTCCCATATGGACAGCACAAAAAAACTCAGGATGTACAGATCACATGCTATGGGCATACATGCACCACGCGGTCTTTCTGCTGCAAGAGGCTCACACCGCAGCACCTTTCAAACATGCCATCATCTCCCGGCAAAGCCATCATCCCTTATAACTGTGTGGCCATACCTGGAGCTAGAACTTTCTCACATAAAACCTGCATCTCTGCACAGGACAAAATCTGCACCATGTGCTGCAGAACGGAGCACAGAAAGATGGGGTGGTGGTAATGAGGCTGAGGAAAGACACAGACAGCTGATGCTTTGGGTCAACGTGAACATCCAAGGAGCCTCGCACATCACATAGAAGGTTAGGAAGGAAGCTGCTGTCTTGTTCCCAGACAACTGTGGCTATTGAGTTATCATCCAAGTAACACCTGTTATTGGAACAATGAGGAGAGGCTTGCAGGACCCAATGGAGACCAAGATGCCCATGACCTTCCTCAGAGCTCCACACCATTCACCTGGTGTTGCCTGGAGGGTATGGCTAAAGCAGAGATCCTCCCTGGTAAATGTGTGGGGAGAGTGTGGTTTACCAAGGAGCCAGTGATGATCCATTTGCAAGTTTTTGTTTATTTCATAGCAGTTTCCTCAGCCATATAACTGGAATAGAAATGCACAATTCACATGGGTCCTGGGAGAGAGAGAAAAAAAATGAAATCTAGAATAGCAGCTAAGGGGATACAAGCCAATGCCCACCTATTTCCACATGTGCAAAGGCTCAACAGTTCATGGGTGACTAAAGGACATGTATGTGTGTTACCGTGTAAGACTGTGAGTAAACTGCATGAGTATGCATATAAAGTATATAAATGTGTGCATATATGTGAGGTCATCAGCACCTGTGTTAGTATGAATATATGTGTATATGTGTGTATTGTGCTATGTGTGCATCTGTGAGCATGTTTGTGAGCTGCATGAACATGCATGTGAGGTACTGTGTATGTAGGTGAACAGTGGGAGAATGTATGGATAGGTTAATATGATGAGTCAGCTATGTGCATATATGTGAAAAATATGGGCATGCGTATGAGCTGTCTGAGCATGTGTATGAGTTAGTATGCATATGGGTTATTGTGTGCCTGTGAGCTGCATATGCATGTATGTGAGGCAGGGGATTAGTGCCACTACTGTGTAAAGTATGTGTGTATGTGTGTAGTAGGTGAGGTGGTTGTGTGGGTATTAATGTGAGCATGTGTGTGAGCTATATAGGGTGGTGTGCATGGGAGATGGTATACATGTTGTACAAGCACATGTTTAAGCTGTGTGTGTTGAGTAGTTTGTATGTAGCTTAGTGTGGGCATATCATGTATGTGTGTGAGGGTGAGGCAGTCTGTATACAACAGCTCCATTACCTGCTGATGACATCTCCCAGGGCCCTCAGTGGATGCCTCAGTCGGGGACAGTGCAGAACTCTGGTGTACTGCGTTCTTACCACAGATCTTAGCAACCTCAGCGTACGATGTCATTATACGATATTATTACTTATTATATTATTTCTTTTCACTTGAAGCGTTTTGTGGCTTTTCGTTGGCGCATCTAAATTGCCAGCATTGTGCTTTGGGGCCATTACTAAGTAAAATAAGGCTTACTTGGATGAAAGTGCTAGATATCAACTGAACAGCTAAGTACCTGATGGAGTGTAGCATATACAGCTTGGAAACACTGGACAACTGAATATATCCAGGGCAGTGCCGGTGGCATATGAGTTCGTCGCATTTCCCCAATGTGTAATTTTAAACTCATGAATTGTTTTTATTTCTGGAATTTTCCATTTAAGACTTCTGGTCTACAATTTATTGTAGATAACAAACTACAGAAAGGGAGACCACAGCCACATGTATGTAAAATGACAACAAGTCTGTATCATTTTTATGAAGCCAAGGGATTCCACACCAGATGCCAAGTAGATGAAAGATGGCTTCAGGCCTGGGGGGGAGAGTGGCCGTGAGTGAAGCCCCATTTCCAGCTGGCCTGTGCTCTCATGAGGAGCAGTTCACATGGTCAAATAGATGGAGCATGCCACTAGGTATAGGGCCATGGAGATTAATCCGGACTGCCTGGGCTGACATCTTCATCTGAGAAGGGATAAGAAGTAAGGTCAGACTGGGTGAGAAAGTAACAGGACTTGGTCAGGGAGAAGACAAAAGAGAACTGTGACCGCGCTTGGACAGCAGGTGAGGGTCTTCTTCCACGGCTGTCACCCGGAGGAGCGAGTCACTTCCTAATGAAGCTAGGCATGACGTACTCGGCATGAATCTTGAAATGGCTTGTTAAAGTAATAGCAATCTTATTTTAAAGAAAGAAGCAATCTTTCTTTAAAGATTTATCTTTTAAATATTCAAAAGCCACTGGAGATGAGGACAGAGAAACAGGTGATTGGGCCATAGAATTTGGGGCAGTCAGAAGTAAAAAATTGTCTTAAAATATTAAATTAGATTTCTGAGGGTAAATCTAAACAGGAATTTCAGAAGGACTGAGCAATGTTGAATATGGGTGTAACTTGCTACAGATAATAGTGGACAGTGGTGAAGATGTCCCCAGCACTCTGAAGTGCCCGTGGGACCTTGTGTTGATGAGAACCATACCTCCTGAAACACCGTCAAGTCCTGCTGTAGCCATAAAGGAGAGCTGATGGAGTTTTAAAAATATTATTCAGTTCACTATTATATCAAGTAACTTTGTGGATTTTTATGGAGTTTTGAATTACTGTCGCTAATTTTTTGAGGTGACAGCTAAGCCTGAGACTTTCTCATTTTGTCAGAGAAGCCACCACCACAGCTGAATTTTTATTTTCATTTGATCTAAGTATTTGTAAACTTACCTGCAATAGAATATCAGAACAGCCACTTCACAGTGGCTCCTTTGTAGACTCCTCACAGGAAGGCAAGCTTGCTGGACTGTGGCTGTTCACTCAATCAATTGGAGCCTATTTCCTTACATTAAAACACACATATTAATTTCTCTTAAAGAATATATGAACAGTGTATTGCAAAATGACATAATTGTGAAACAAACATTTACCTCAATGTTGTTCTACTTTTAATTCCAAAGCAATTCCAGGAAGGAGCTGTTTCCCAACAATCATACTGGACCTGTGGTCCATACCTGACAAGACCCATGAAAGAGAGCTTAACAGAAAAAAATAGAGAGACCCTGGAAATTCTCTACAGAGGCATCTTGTTTCCATTCACTGGAACACAATGGTACTACTTAGCCACTTTTAAAGAAGTTAGGTCTCTGTTCCTGTGGTAATGAGTCTTTCTTACAAAGGCTCAGTCAAAGAAATTTTAGCCCAAATTTGTGAGGAATAAAAATCTAGTCATAAACATACAATAGACACACTATCATGAATACCAACCATTAAATATGCATTTACAGTATTATTTCTGAATAATAAATGGCTAGATCTTCCCAATGAGGGAAATAGTCATTCATCTTGTAGACTTTCTGGAATCTGAGAATAAAACCAGATGAACCTCCAGGGACACCACTCTGTTTGTAAATGACTGCCCCACGAGCACATGTCCTTTAGAACACTGCTTTTAATGGGCAAAACTAATAACAGCAATAACAAAGGCCTGGGGCTTGTCATGTCCTTTGAATTATAATTTCAAAGTTTCTGGAAAGAAAAGTCTACAAAACCACCATGTATTTGCTAACCAATCTATCAACCATAAACTTCTGCTGAAGCACACTTTTTATTTAAATAATTTTTACACTCATGTGTTGAATGGTGAGTGTATGCATGCCCACTGCAGAGAACAACTTGCAGGAGGCGACTCTCCCCTCCCACCAAGCTTGGCAGCAAACGCCTTTACCCACAGAGCCATCTCTCCAGCCAGTACTTTTTTATTTTTAGGGGCACAGCTTCATGTAACTATGTTAAGCTGCAGAGGAAACATAGGCCTTATTCCACAGTGTCATCCCTATTTTTTTCCATTTACAAAACTTTAGACCAATGAGAATATGAGCCAATGCTAGAACTAATAATGAAAGCCGGCTTGTGTTGGCAATTCTCTTCCCCTTCTCATGCCCCCCAAAATGATTTCCATTTTTCTGTGTTGATTCGAGAATTATTTGTTTCCCCCTGAATTAAAATATTTGAGTGACTGATTTCAGGGTGTCTTAGTTCCTCCTGACTTTAAGGTGAGGACAGTGCCTGAAGAGCTGCACCTGATAACTACTCAGAGAGCAGAGCAGCTCCAGCCTTCCCAGGAAACACCTGTTCTTGAGCTGAGTCTGATGGTGGGGTGAAGTTTGCTCACAGTCTGCAAGGCTGGGTGGCTGGCCCTGTAACACCATCTGCTGATCTGCTGATGGCCCTTGACAAACAAACGAACAAAAAACCCTCACTGACAAGGGGTAAAGGGAGCCGTCCCCGGGCTGAGCTGAGAGCATGCAAAGCACCCTAGCTCCCTGAGAAGCTGACCCAGTTGGACATTCTGCTTGCCAAAAACATCTCTTTCGTAGAGGTGAGAAAAGTGCTACCAAAATAATAATAATCATTGCCATTAAAACTCTGGTTCCTTTTGAATTCATAATTTAAACATTTTATAAATGGATTCCCAAATCAAAGGTATGTTAAATATTACATGTGAGCTATAATTATAAATTAGTGTTTGCTTAAAAAAAAAACAAACAAAAAAAAAAACAGTTGGTTTAGTTTCCTGAAATCAAGCACTTTGAAAATCATTCTCCACTTTGACCACACCATTTAAACTTCCTGAGACAGTGTTTTGCATTGCCACAAGTGCGTCTTCCAGAACAGCCTTTCTCTATTTTGCTTAAAACTACATTTTCTTTAATAAGTCCGTGTGCTGGAGAGTGACTGTAATCACTTAGCTGAGTGCTCTTCAAGGCTACTCTGGTCCCTAAATTGAAAATGAGATTCTTATCACAGCAAGTTAGCTTCACACAGGACAAATGTAAAATGCACTTTAAGCAATGAAGAATTAGCAGAGACCAACAAATCACTTTAAACTGTATTGCTTAGGAATTTTGTAGGTTCTGAGAGTTTTACATATGCTACTTTTTTTAATTTATTCATCGGCCAAACATTCCTAACTTCTATATAAATAATATACCCATTTGTTGTCTATAAACGATTTCAAGCAATATGTCTCATGCATATTTTGTGTTGTTTAAATTTTTCTAGAAATGTTTCTGAAATCACGTATAATTATTTTGTAATTTTGAAAAAAAAATCACTATCCTTCTTGAGGATTGCTGAATTATCACTGTTGAGAAACTTTCATAAGGGTCTTTCCCTGTCCAGAAAATAAATTTAAAAGGAAGGGGGGAAAACAAGAACCTTCTGGGTTGGTTTATCAGTTTCTAGGCAAAAGGAGTCAGCACGTGAAGTCCAAACTCTTCCCTTAACCCCTTGGACAGCGTGTTTGCCTGGCTTTCGGAGTGGACCTGCTCCATGTCCTCTGCAGCCAGAATGTGGGTCTGGGGCTTTCCACTTCAGGGCCCGGCTACCCGAGGCAACAGCCCCCAGAGGCGTGAGAAGCAGTAAGGGTCACCAGTGAGGAAATACACTTTTCTAGATAGAAATAACTGCACGGAGGCTTTAAGGCCATTTCATTATTGAAAAGATGACTAAAATGCAACATATTGCACCTCTGTATCCATCCTTCCTCAAAGCACGGGGAAAGGCAGGTCGGCCATTGGATTCCGATTAAATCCGAAGCGTGGTGCTCAGACATGGCAGGAACCCTTTGGGACACTGGGAAACTAAAGTAAAACAAATGCCTCTACTTACAGATTTCCACGTCTCTTGATGCTTGTGGAAAACCAAGCTGGCTGCCTGCAGGGGCAGCGCGTCCTGCTCTGGCTTGCATCTGACCTGGGCCCTGGCCCTCTCGAGCCGGCCGGCCGTTGTCCGAATTGACCGCCAAGGGGTCGGTGCCACTTGGAGCAGAGGGATTGTATCCCACACCTGCTTGTGGCTCGGGACCATTGAAATCGAGAAAAGCAAGTGGGGTGTGACAGGAGGATGGCGCTGAGCCGCGCGTCTTGGGGTGTGCCAGGCGCCTCGTGGCCTTTGGGATCCTCTCAGTGCACCGCATCCCACTGAGTTCGCGCCACGCTGGCTGGCTCTGGGGCTGGAGCACACTGGGCCGCGAACTCCCGGAGGCTGTGCGCGTTCCTATCAGCCCGGGCCGCGCGCCCCCGACTCCGCTGCCCCGCCCAGATCTCGGGGGCGCCTGGTGCCGGCGTCTTGCCCTGGGCTGTCAGACCCCTATGTTCCCCGCTGCGCCTCCATGTCCTTAAGGTGCTGTGACTGCAATAGGAAAGCCAGGTACCTTGGCATCTCAAAGGGTGAGCGTGGGACATGGCGTGTCCTCGCACTGCTGCTGAGTGAAGGATCCGGATCCCTAAGGGTACACACGGGGCACCTGGGATGCTGAACCTCTCATCACAGATAGGAAGTCTGTGTTCCTAGCCGCAGTATTCTGTGATCCATTCTCCAAGTCCTGTGGGGGGAGGGAGAAAGAGAAAGAAGAAGGGAGAAAGAGGAGAGAGGGAGGAGGAGGAGGAGGAGGAGGAGGAGGAGGAGTGCTAACTCGCCGGCCGTTGCTATGGAGAGACCCGGTTGCCTGAGAAGCTGAGGGCGGCAGGTCCCCTCCCCCGGGCCTCGCTCCGGCTCCACGTCCCCTGCCTTGCGTTCTTTCTACTCTGCGCCAGAGCTCCAGCCCGTGGGACACTCCTTCCCTTCCTCCCTCCTTCTCAGCTCAAGGCTAAACCAGGGGTCGCTTTGGTGGCTTATTAGGAACTCGAAGCACCAGGCACTCCAGTGGATTGAGCTCTGAGGATGGTAGCAGGGTTTGAGAACCACCGCTGCCGCCATCCTGATCTTGGCCCTGATAGGCCTGTGGTCTCCAGTGCACTGCTGAGTCCTGGAACTACTTCTCTCCAGAGAACCTGGTGGAGAGCCTGGAGAGCAACCAATTTTGAGGGGGTGTCTGCAGGGCCTATCCTCTAGCATAGGGGCACTCCAAGTGACTGACTTCTCCCCACCTACTGTGTCTTTGGAGGAATCACGGGAGAAGCCCGGATTCTCTTCTTCGCCACCCCCCAAACTCATCTTCCCCACGAAGTCACCAGCTGCGTCTTGCAACCTACTCAGGCCCTCAAGACTAGGGCCGGTTACGTAGCCACCCTAGGCCTCTGGGGCTCCCACCGTCAGCCCCTGTAAATTAAAACTAACCAAACAAAAGAGTTTAAGCCCCGACCAGAGGAAGATGTCGTTGGGAAGCAGCACCGACAGAGGCAGTCACTTGGTAGCACCGGGCCCTCTTTGGGGGAGCAGAGCTCCCTCCCTACGCCCGGGCGGATAAAAAAGCAGGGTTCTCTCAGCGTTTCCCCGCCTGGCCTGCAGTGGATTTATCCGAGGGCCCAGGAGTAGGCTCTGCGGCCTCCGGGTGTGCGGAGGGGTGGGGTGGGGTGGGGGTGTTGGGTTGTGCAGGCCACCGTCTCCAGCTGTCCCAAGTGCAGGGAACAATGGGAAGGCGGCAGGAGAAGGGAGGGGGGAGGGCGTCGGGGTTTCCAGAAAAAGAGGAACTAAAGAACCCTCCGCAGACTGTCATCTGCGTATGACAGGATCTGCTCCCCCACACTTTCCTTTCTTCCTCTTGTTCCTGCAGCTGTGGGCCTTGAAGAGCGCATTGTACGCACAGATGTTGGGTTTCAGCTCTCCGCTCCTGGCCGCTCTGTGGGGGCGCAGCGCACCAGGGTGCCCAACCTGTGGCCGCGCCCCGGAGGCGAGCAAGGGTTGAGGAGGAAGAGTGTGGGAAGGAAGAGCCCCGGAGCGCGATGCAGTAGTGGAGTACAAACCCAGGGGAGGGCTCTGGAGACCTCTTGGCTAGCACCAGCCGGCTCGACTCCCTCCTCAGGTCTGCGCTGGCGGTCAAGTAAATGGGAAGTAATTGGGGTCTGGAAAGGTAGCCTTGTGTTCTCCTTTTCTCCCACCAGGAGGTCGTCTAGGGTGTGGACAAGAGCATAGGGATACAGGGGAAATTGCTAATTTTTTTTTTTCCTGCTCCGTCCAGCATGTTGGGCTAGTGGCCCGCAATTGGCCTGGACCAAATGGTGGCAAAGTCTCATTATTACCTGCATGCAACAGACTGCTTCCTATGAGTAGCTGGTTCTTAGAAACTGGGACTCGTATACAGTGTGTATGTGGTGTGTGTGTGGGGGGGGTGTCCCCTAAGTTATTAAAATGCTTCTGTTTGGAAAGGAGAGAAAAGGCCCGATTTACTGTATTTTTTTTTTCTTGGAGAGTTTCTACACATCACTTGCCCTGCCATAAGCAAAGGTCACAGTAGGGCCAAGAGGGGTGACTTTTCCAGCCGAGGCCTCACTCCCTCACCTTAGTGCTGCTCTGAACTTGTCCAGAATGAAGTGCAACTTAGGAATTGAAAGAAAAGACTAAAAGAAAGAATCAGCGAAGGCCCTGCGCTGTACCAATGACTGACAAAGCTTATGTCCATTCATAGTCTCGGGCGGATGAGGGTGTATGGAGAGCCACGGCCCCTTAGCCAATTGCTGTCAGCAACATGTGGGGGGGGGGGACGACATCGCTATAGCAACCGGTGGCTGGGCCGCGAGCCGCGCCGCCGCCGCCGGCCGGGTGCGCGCGGGGCCGGATATAAGGCGGGGCGCGGCGGCCGCGCCGGTTGGAGCTGCGCGCGCGGCCGGCCGCCCTGCGGGGACCGTCCCAAGCCGGGCCCTGCACCCGCCCACGCAGCGTCGGGACCCAGTGCGCCTAGCCAAAGGGCCGGGCTAGGGCGGAGCACGCCCGGCGGTGCTGAGAAGGCTCGCAGAACTGCCTGCACCCGCGGGCTCGGAGCGGGAGCCACCGCGCCGCCGCTGCTGAGACGCGCGGCACCTTTGTCTCCACCAGCCGCCTGAGAAGTTTTGTGGTCAGAAGCAGGATGGCCCGGCTCATCAGTGGCTCCAATGCAGAGAAGCAGTTGGCTGTGATGATGGAGCTACTGTTGCCAGCGTCCGCGGCAGCTGTGCCCGAAGCCGCTTGGCCGGGCGCACACCCCCGCCTCCTGCTCTCTTGGGCACCCAGCGTCCGCCTAGCTGCAGGTAACCATGAACTGCCAACCCTGTCCTGGGCACTGAGTGGGGCGGCCTGGTGGGCCCTGGCAGAGGAGAGGGGAGTCGGGTGGGGAGGAAGGGATCAAGAGTGGATACCCCCAGGGCATCAGCAAGCGCGGTGGTGACAGGGCGCGGAACAGAACCTTCTAAGGGCTGAGGGTGTGCTTGAGGAGCCCAGATGTACAACCTAGGTGTCTTGCCCAGTTCAGAGGATAACTGACTTGCCGCAGGACACCTGTCAAAGGTTTGGTCAATCAGAAAGACCTGCGTTTGGAATAATTTTTCCAGGTGGGTCTGAGGCGGAGAGCCCACCATGGCAGTCCCTTCTGAGCGCACAGACTAGAAAGGAGAGACAGGTCCTGGGCCTGCACCAGGAGACTTCCCCGGGGAAGAATAGGACTGTGGTCTGTAGGACTTCTCCCCTCGAGTACTCGTCTCGGCTTGTTGTCATAAGGCTAGCCCTTTGGGCAATTCAGAACTTGGAGAAAACCGCCTCGAGGATGAGAGGTGGTGCGGGCACAGAGATGGAGATGGGTACGGTGAGGAAAGGGAAGGATGGATGAAGTCGGATGAGCAGCTAGCATGGAGGGGACCAGCGTGTGTGTGTGGCGGGGGGCGTTTTCTTCTGGCCGCATTTTGGGGATCTCTTTGCTCTCCTCTCTGGGGTTCCGGAGTGTGCCTCTGTGCCATCCGGGCATCCCAGCTGGTAACGAGTTAAGAGGACCAAGTGGGCCCGGGGCGGGGCGTTAGAGAAGCAGGTGGGGCGGCCCAGGAGAGTGCGGAGTCCTCTGACCCCCGCCTCCAGCTTCGAGCTTCCCCCTCTCCTCCCCCAAAGGGAGCCTGCGTTTTCTCCCACCCCCTTTCTATCAGACACCCCCAACCCTGCCAGGTGGGGCGGTCGCGCACTTGCCAGAGAAACTTCTGACTCAGAGCTGTTTGAACAAGGGCTTACTTCCTTCATTTCCGACTACCGGTTTGGCTCCTAAAACCCGCCTGATCTGCGTCCCCAGACAGCTGGGTAGACCCCAGATCAGCGACATTGACTTTTAAAGCCAAGGTCCTTTTGCGTCTTCGTTGCACAGAGTCCGGACGCTCCAGGCTGAACTGCTTGAAAGAAAAGGGATCAGTATCGGGGTCGCCAGGCCCCAGTGCATGGTAGACCTAGCTGTGCGCTGCAGTTCACCTGACGACCCGCAGCACTGTGCCTCTATCCGCCAGGTCCGGTCCCACTGCGCTCCTCAGCCCTGGTCTTCAGTGGTCAGCAGACCTCGGGTCCCCTTGTGTACCCGACACCGAGCGCCCCTGCAGGGAACCAAGAGCCTTCCCAGTCTGGAGTAAAGGGCTTAGTGGTTTCAATTGTTTTAGAAATCAAGAAAATGTGAGAAAGCAGAGAGAGGAGGTGGAAGCTCTTTCCTCTCTACCCACACAGGAGGAAAAGCCCACCGACTCCCAGCCTATATGCCCAGTTCGGCTCCCAAGAGCACCGTGGCCCTGGCAGGGAGTGCAGGCAGAGGTGTGCGGTGGTGGTGCTGTTAAGCTCTGGGTATTCTTGGATGGGTACCGGCGTTGTTGGTGACATTAATCCTTCTCTCTCGGCCGGCCGGCGGGCGCGCTTTGTGGCCCGGGAGGCTGGGCCGCCTCATTGTCCCTGAGAGGACCCTCTCGGGGCTGTGAATACCCGAGGCTCCCAGGAACCCTCGACCTTTTGTGTCCTGCGCTATGGTCTGATCTCCACGACCTCTGCAGGGATCTTGGGAATTAGCGAGAGGGGGAAGGGACCGGGAAACGGGGGGTGAGAAAGCTGAGGCCAGTGTGGGTCAGATTCCCGGTGTGGGGGAGGGGGCTGGTGACTGCCGCCAACAGCTTCCATAGACCCTTGCTGGGACTCTTCCCCACAACCCGGTCCTGACCAGCTAGGCAAGTCCCCAGCCAAGGGCTTTCTGGCCTGTGGAGAGCGGGAGAAGATGAAAAAGATAATCCAGTCTCGAAGGGAGTTGATTCTTGGGGTTAGGGTGAATAGGGACCGGACTGAACAGTAAGGCCAAATGTCCTCCTTCAATAGCAGGACATTATCCTAGAAAACTCCTGCCGGTGAGGGCGTGCATGTGGGCCACGCCAGGCCTCGGGCACCAAACAGGCCTAAGCACCAGCCTGCCAGTGCGCTGAGGGTGCCCGCCCGCCGAGTTTGAGTTCTGGTGTAACGAAAGCGCAGCCACTGGATTGGAAAAATTCGAGGGGGCAGGATTCCTCTTTGGACAGATCCATTTTGGCCTGTTCTCCGCTGGCTGGCTGGCTCTTCTACCCCGGATGATTTGTGATTAACAAACAATGCTAAAAATGAGTTCACCAGACTGTCTTTCCTCTTTTTGAACATCAATATCATGCATCTCCCCTTATCTTAAAACAGAGCATTTTTTTTTCTAGAACAGCTATTTTAGGAGTACTCC